TACAGTCAACGGCAGACACTGCTATTTTTTTGAACACACCCCTTTCAACTAATTGCCCAATTGCACAGCCTTAAGAGCGTGCATATCATGAATGCTGGGTCTTGTTTGCTTTCTGAGAATCTACTGCACCTACTGGTAACTTGTTTGCCATGTAGCAATAAAAAATATACTAAAAACCTGGATTATTGTGGTTAGTCACATTGTACTGCTATTATTTTGAACAATACTGTACATGTACCATTCCAACCTACACTGTGAAGGTTTGAGTGATGTATTCAACATGGACAAAAATGACACAATAATTTGTATGCCTGTGCATGTATGTTGTCTGAGGGATAACAAAAATGGGAGAACTCTATTAACTTCAGCATTTCATGATATTCCCAGAGATGCATGTATCTGTGAGAAAATCATGAGACAGGGCATCCAGCATCTGACATTTGTGTGTGTCTGTGCACTTAGCTGCCTGTAACACAGTGTAAAATTTTACACAGTTTGTTTCAAGAAAAAACAATAGTAATAACAATATTTTTGAATTTAGTAAGGCATGCATATTTCATATGCACCAGCAAAGTATCAGTCTCTGCCACATGGCATCAACCGGGTGGGATATTGATTCAGTTTATTGTCTCACCACAGATATGTACCCTGCTGGCATTGCTGCCACGCACTGTCATATTTATGTAGATTTAAAAAAAAAGAATAGTCACAGATAATTCCATAGATTTTCCCCTTGCTTGTTTTTATTGTAGGTGATTTACTGCTGAGGTTTCATCCTACCGTACACACACCCAAACACGGCCCACATCCACCTTTTGAAGACAGACAGCTGGATTTTGCTCACTGTGTGTCATCTCCGTGAGCTGCAACATGAGCTCCATGTGAAGTCGTGTTAACACAATACTGAGATGCAGCTGTAGATGAGCTGCCAGTTATGCGCCAGCCATGAGATGGAACAACACGCATTCCACAAACAACAGAGGAACTGTCAGCACCACACATAGGGTTTCAGTTTCATGAAGAATCCAATAAGTCATTTTCTCCCAGCTGTACCTGTGTTTACCTCAGGAGACTTAGCCTGTACTAAGATTACAAGTTCATTACTGTTATGCTGTTGTGTGTGAAAAAATAAATTGAATCAGTGGGAAGGTGCTTTTTACAAACTTGACACTAGGAGCTGCCTTCAGCTGTGCCACTGAGGGTAAAAGTAAAATCTTTAAAAAAATATTATTATTATTATAATAAGATTATTAATTATTATAATACCATTTTTCTCATTGATCTATAAATTTGGTATCAGGGTATCTAAAAAATGGCATCACAAATTAGGATGTAGAACTTAATCTGATTAAATCATTAATTAAATAATGATTAAATAAATAACATTCAGCAATTTCCATAGTAATTTAGTCAGTTAACTGTAATTATCATCACTTTTTTTTAACAAAAAAGTTTAGAAACATATTTAGAAATTCTTAAATATAATCCTTCTCGTTCAAGTAAAAATCCAAAATTAACTCTATGAAATATTTTTGTATTTCTGAAGTTTAATAGCTGTACACAAGATGTTCCATACTTCCAGAGGTGCAAAGTATCTAAGTACCTTTACTCAAGTACTGTACTTATCAGTACAATTTTGAAGTATCTGTACTTCACTTGAGTATTTCCATTTTTTTGCTGTGAAAAGTACTGTATTTTGCACCCACTATATTTATTTGATAACTTTAGTTACTTTTCAGACAGAGCTTAACAAAACAATACACTGTATAATCGCAATATTTATTGATCCCTGGTGTAAAATTCACAAGCTACCCAGCAGTAATTCACATTATAAGCACATAAGGTAATTAAAATTAGCTCTACCTTTACCAGCTGCAACATTAAATGTAATAATACCTTAATTGCCTCCATTGTTGTTTGTGTTAATAAGGAGCCCAGACTATAATAACCAAATTTCCACAGTTTTTACACCACCTACAGTACATGCAATCTATAAAATAAGGAATCTGAAAGGAGGTGCATATATACATTTGTATTTAACATTTTGGTTGTAACACTTTCACTTGTAACAAAGTATTTTACACTGTGGTATTGGTACTTTTATTTAAGTAAGAAATCTGAGTACTTCTTTCACCACTATCTACTTCGACAAAAACATTTCAGTGTTAGTGACCTGGGCCATTCAAGTTTCCACACTACACTATGTATGTGTTGTTGAAAAGGAATGAAACCAGGATGAGCAAAGGGACCAAACGCTGGAGAGTCACAAGAGAAAATGCTCATCATTAACAATTCAGTTGGTCGATTGCATAGATGGAATGCAGGTGAGCAAGGAAGGAGCAGGGATGAGCTGGTAGAAAGAGGCAAAACAAAGACGTGGGCTATGCCTAACAAAACAGGGAAAAGAAGAGGTAGAGATGAGCCAAAGACAAAGATCATGGCAGAGGGCTGTGCAGTGTAAGGTGCATCTACTGCCTTAGCCATATATCTTTCAAATAGCAAGTCTTGGTAATCACAAAACAAACGCTGCTGAATTGTTAAGAGTTATCCAGGCTGACATTTTTTTTAAAACAGTGTAATCAAGCTATTTCAGGCCACATTTACAAAGTGATCAAACAACCACGCTGAGGTTTCATGTAGAGGAGGAATAATCAGCTGACTGAGATAAAGACGAGGTAATATATAATCAGTCTACTTGGCACTGGGGTTTCTACACTGCAGGGGTACAGCGGCCCCTTATACTACAACATGATCAATCATTTAACATGCTAGTCGAGGGATTTTAGCATGGAAGATAACACAGGTGTGGCATTATCAAACACTCCGAGACCTCTGCTACTGCTGTTGGGGAATGCTGCCGCATCGCTCCCTGAAAGAAAACTCACCTTGAGACACTAAGAAGGAGCAGCTAAAAGAAAGTGTTCAGTATCCAAAGAGATAAACTGTAACATCTGGTGATTACTTAATGGAAAAATTATAGGGCAAGGACAGGGTGTTAGTTCTGTATGACCACATGAATTACAGCGATTTTACTCTATGATAAAAAAGTAGCTCTGAAAATGTAAAAAATTTACATTACCAGATCATACAGCATGTGGGAAAAAATCCATTATAGTAGATGTCTGACAATTCTGTTAACAAATTTAAGGAAACAATTCCATCATTATTTACTGAAGTATGGAGGGTGGGCACTTTAACTTCACTCTCAGGAGTCAATAATCTTGTTGATAGTACTGCAGCCTCCCTGCAGACAGTGAAACAGAAGAGACTAGCCCTGTGGTACAGCTCGCAGGTCTGCTCCCAAAAGCAGGCATCACAAAAACTAAAAAGGAGGTGGCACACCACTAAGTCAGAAGAGTTTTTCTTAGCCTGGAAAGATAGTTAAATAATGTATAAAAAAAGCCCTTCATAGTGCCAGAACCGCATATTGTTCATCACTGATGGAAGAAAATAAGGACAACCTCAGGTTTCTTTTCAGCACTGTAGCCAGGCTGACAGAGAGCCAGAGTGCTGCTTAATTAACACAAACACTGTCCTAAATGGATGAGCACTGCACTGAGAGCAGTCAAAGTTTCTTTACTCAGCAGAAGAAAAGTTTTAGATACAGAGTGGAGCATAATATTTGTCATTCTGAAAAGTAACGACTTTATATTTATATTACAAATGTTACATACTGTGGGGCAAATAAGGATTTGATACACTGGCAATTTTTCAAGTTTTCCCACTTGCAGAGAGAATGGGCAGTTCTGGAATCTTCATCGTAGGTACACAGTGCTCATCCATTTCAAACAGTGTTTGTGTTAATGTATATGTTGTTTGTAACCTACAACCTAAGCTCATTGTTTTGTCCAGCATTGTCTTTTACTTTTCAACATTTGCTGTGAAAATCTTGTCTGCAAGATTTACAATCCTACATCATTTTTTTTACTCCATGCATAACGATGCTTTTTAATCTACAATAAATCCCTTTTGACCTTAAACTACACTGTAAACCTGTATAAACAGGAGACAGGTGGATACAAAAAGAAAACACATATATATATATATATATAAATACACACATACACACACACACACTATACTTTGCCTTGTATAGCCTCATGGGTTGATGCAAACTGTCCTGCTTTGTTTTTCCACTGTATTTTGTCTTGTGTCGGACTCTTGTTTAGAGGCCGGAGGGGCTGCACTCCTCACAAGCACGCAGTCAGCTGAGCAGAGGGAGAATGGAGGATGTGGAGGATCACTCCATAGTGCAACAATCGCCCAGTAATGGCAATGGTAGGAGCAATTTATCAAACAGCTGTTGAAGAAGAAATGTGACATCTTCACCGCTTTGCCCATGGTCCACTCACCGAAGTCCCCACCTCACAGGCAACTGTTCTGTGCGCATGTACCTACCCCAAGCCCCCCCCCCCCCGTTCCCCGAACGCTTGAGAAATTAAGGGTTTCCTCCTGTACAGTCACGCCATCCAGACAACACTCGAAGTTCCCCTGGCATAAGCTCATCCCATTGCCAAGTGCTTCCTTGAGGGGGAATTGCTGAGGTCAGACCTTGCATCATAAAGTGCTCTGAAATACCTGTTGTCGTGAATTGGTGCTATACAAATAGAGTTGAGCTGAACTTATAATCTAAAGATTAACCTTTGCTGACTGACCCTGATGAAGGCCAAAGTGCCAAAAGCTGTTATTTACACTACAAGTGTTAAAGAGTTTTTAGCTCTTAAAAAGTTTTACCTCTTTAAAAAAAAAAGTGATGACAAAGTGGGGATTTGCTAAAGAACACAGATTTCTGATAAGAGAATCTAAACGGTATTTAACTATTGCTATAATGCAAAAAAAAAAAGTCCATCATGCCACTAAACATGCAAGCTGTGATTTGTGGGAGCACCATATGACTCAAATGCATCTGCTGAGTACCTGAAACATCACTCCCCCACCAATACACCCATGAGTTTTTTTTTTAATACATTGTATATACAAACTGAAAACATCAGTCAGTATAAGTCATAACCATCACCTGGATTTTAATGGCAGAAAACAAAATGGAAGAGATCAACATGAAGTTTGTCTCGAAATATCAGTGATCTGATAGACGGAAAAACAATTCACTTTTATTTGTATAGCACCAAATTGCACAGATCAATATTGACTCAATCAACTGTAGCATAGCACTACAAAATGAGAAGCTAGATATTGAGGACCACACATCCAAGGCACCCTCACATGACTTGGCTTTAAAAGCATGACGATGATAATGACCGTGGTGATGGTGAGTGAGGGGAATGTGCACAAAGTGTCTTGGGAAAGTTGGTAGCTCATTCGTGGACCGGCCTGGACTGTACGACAAAATCCTGTGGCTGTGAATAAAGCTGCAACAGACATAACAGAGCTGCGAGAAGAGAACTTTACAGTAGGAGTCATGACTGCACACTCAGCACCTCACATAATGACAGTCCTGTGACTGAATTTCAATTAGTATTGGGAGGAGTGCTGATGGCTGACAAAAGCACTGTTGCAATTGAACTTAATATACAGTAAATGCAAAACATGGAAGGCACCTTTTTTACAAGTGTTATTGGTCATGGATTTTCCAGTAAAATGCCTAACTCATGACTGGAGTCACATTAAACATCAAGTACATATACAGTGAAAGAGAAAATATAAAACAACAATATAAAAAGACCTCATTATTCTCAGTTTTTAAGCCTAGAAAGTAACAGTCTTTTGGTTTCAAAGGAACTAGTTTCGTTTTTGTATATGAGCTAAGTTCTGAGAAAAAAATAACAGCAAAAAAAAAAAAAAAACTGAATTTAGTGAGATAAAGAAAAAGATCAAAAGCATATCTTTGTGGTATGATACATACACAGCATCAGTTATTTGGAGTTAGTCTTTGGGGAGGCCATTACTATGGATAAAATGTGAATGGCCTGCTTTGATAAATATGCATTTTCTCCATGATAGTACCTGTAACAGTGACTTTACAATATGTTGTGTCTCCAGATTAAACCAGGTTGAGTGATCAGAAGTTTTTGAAGATCTCCAAGTCCTTCTGAGGCACAGGAAGGTCTTTTTTCCAGTTGTCCTCTGGGTACACATCAAAGTTGGAGGCGTCACCCTCATGAGAAACTTTAGGAACTATAGGAGGCTGTGGAGACAGTGAAACACACTTTCATTTAAGTGCAGGTAGGACTAGGTTTACAAAATTTTGAACAGGATGGCCAGGCTGGGGCACAGACTCAGAGAGGGGTGGCACATCTGAAATACAAGCAATAAGTAAATTAAACCCCTAGTTATATGAAATAATAAACCATATACTTTTTTAAAGAATCTAAATGTTTACTCAGTGTAAAAATGAGACACATGGTGCTTTCTTTAGCAAGATTTGGCTATTTTATTCCTGGCTGGGGACATCGCTGCTGCATCCTGGTACTATATGGTCATATTATTTTACTTTATACTCGTTTTCACCTCAACTCCAACCGCTAAACACCAAAATCATTATCGCTAAGTCAAACTATGAGGTTAGATCTTACAGAGAAAGAGCTAAATAAATTTGTCTCATCTGATTTCATCTGCTGCCATCAGCATACAGCTGAATAAAAACAGCCTAATTAAATACATGTAACAATCAATCAATCAAAATTGATTTATATAGCACTTTAAAAGCGACATCTGGTCAACCAAAGTACTTTACAAGGGCAATGTACAAACCAGAATAAATAATATCAATAAAGAAATAAATCAACATTGGAACGTAAAGACACGAAGTACACAGAATCAATAGTTAAAAGGAAGCATCAGACACTATGTATTAAAAGCCAAAGTGAACAAATATGTTTTTAACCAGTGATTTAAAAGCTGTCAAGTCTATAGATGATCAAACATGAAAAGGCAAATCATTCCACAATTTCAATAAAAGCACAGTCACCCCAGCATTTGTATCTGGCCCTGGGAACCTCTAAAAGACACTGGCTTGAGGATCTGAGTAATCTAGTCGGTTCGTGCCACCTCACCAACTCAGCAAGGTAGGGCGGTGCCAAACCATTAAGAGCCTTAAGAACAAAAATCTATAGCTTAAAATGAATTACAAAATGGACTGGGAGCCAGTGAAGAGAGGCCAGTACTGGGGTGATATGGTCAAATTTCCTAGTACCCGTTAAAAGATGAGCAGCAGCATTTTGGACCATTTGAAGACGAGTGAGAGACGACTGATTAACACCAAGGTATAATGCATTACAGTAGTCAAGTCTAGAGGTTATAAAAGCATGGATTGCAATCCAAAAATCATTAAAAGAAAGAAATGACTTGACTGTACTTAGTAACCTCAGGTGAAAGAAACTAGATTTTATGACTGAGTCGATCTCCTTGTCAATCTTAAATTGTTGTCAAAAATCACTCCTAAGTTTTTTACAGTCATCTTCAGATGATGAGCCAGGGGGCCTAAATTGTAATTAAAAGCAGCAAATTTCACCAAATCACCAAATAAAACAGTTTTATCCTCATTTAATTTTAAAAGGTTCTGCACCAGCCATGCTTTCAGGTCTGTCAAATAGTGGCTGTAGAGACATCCCCCCAGCTGCTTTTTAATGGTAAATATATCTGGATGTCACCCGCATAACAATGAAAAAAGAAGCCATATTTCCTTAGAACCAATCCCAGCGGAAGCATGTACAAGGCCGAGTACAGACCCTTAGGGGACACCACAGGAGAGGATAGCTGAAGAGGAAGAACAAAAAACTTCTATTCGTGAGGTAAGATCTAAACCAGTTAAGAACAGATAGATAGGTAGGTAGGTACTTTATTGATCCCACAATGGGGAAATTTCTGTGTTACAGCAGCAACAGAGAACAACCAACATAACACCATAAGAACAGACACAAAAACAAAACTTCATAGAAACACGGGAAGATAATATATTTAGATATTAATAAATAATATATTTACTAATGATATTGATAGCAAAATGTCTAGTGGATTACTTATGAATGATATCAGTGATCATTTACCTGTATTTTTGGTTTATGACTGCCATGTTAGAAATGAAAGGCCAAAAACAAATCTTTTTTATAGGAGGGTGATGAACGAACATGCTGTAAGGAGGCTAAAAGAGGACTTTATGGGGCAAGACTGGGATGCAGTTTACAAAGAGGAAGACTTAGACAAAGCATATGAGCAATTTTTAAATATATTCATG